TTCATTACAAAAAGCTCGGATTCTTCGTCCAATGTCTAACAACCCAAGAAATATATTCAATAAATGTTTCATAATTAAAAACGTAATGGGATTAGCAAAAAAATTAAATACACACCATTTCCATTTCCTTGGTTAATTGTTCAGCTGATTTATTATGGCGCAAGTGGTCCATCACGAATGAAACTAATTCATCTTCTTGTACCCCAAGATATCCTACAATTTTCTTATTAACAAACGGTCGCAATTTCTTATCGATGATTGTCTGAAAAAGTGTCTAGTCAATAAATACTGTTACTAAAACAAACGAAACAAATTTAATTTAGACGCACCTCGTCTAGCTCTTCCCATTTGACATTCCATTTCCATAGACCTTCCCTGTCCGAAGGAATGATATCAACCAAATCTTTGATTTTCTTCTTCCTATCCTCAGTTTTCTTCTCATCATCTTCATTATCACTATATTCTAACGGAACCAATACCCTTCGTTTCTTATTAGAGTCATGTTCATCATCATCATCATCTTCCTCTTCTGTGTGAGCGATTAATGTTGAGCGACGCTTGGAAGATATATTCAATGTAAGCTTTGCCTTAATATTGTTGCTAGAAAAAGAACCATTCGCCGAGTGTGTTAAAAGATCTTTTTCTTCACTTAATTCCGCTTCCATGGCTTCAGCACGTAGTCTTTTCTCCTCTTCAAGCGCACGCTCCCATTCTATTCTGCGTTGCTCTGCTTCAAACTCCTGCTGTTCACGAATCCTATCTTGCTCATCCACTGCCATTTCGCGTGCCCGAACTTGCTGCCGATGGGACCACCAACGAGATCTAATAAATTCTTACTTAGAAACTATTTTAAATGCTAAAAATATATACCAGTTAAAACTCACATACCGGTCACGATAATACTCTTCTTGTCCTCGTTCAGCTTCTACATCATCATCCCATTCAGCTAGCTTACGTGCCATCAATTCTCTGTCACGTATTTGTTTCTCTCTTGCATCAACTTCACGCTCCAAATCGCGTTCACGATTTATTGCCATTGTTTCTTCTCTATGTTGCCAGCGTCTCTCCCGCTATAATTTAAATGATTAGTATTGACAAGATAATCGAAATCAATGAATTATTAAATACCTCTTTAAACGCCATTTCCATTTCTGTTTTTCTTTTAGCCTGTCGTTTTTGCTCCTCCTCTTCGTCATCCAGTATATATGAATCACGTCTTGATTCTCTAGCAGGAACAAAATTAACTGGCGGATGATGATAATGTCCATACTGTCGATCTCGGTTTTCCCTTCCATGTGAACGTTCTTTAGCTTGTTCAGCTCTTGCCCTTCGAGTTGCTCGCTCTTCTTCTTCTCTCTGTCGTTCTCTTTCTCGAGCAGCGGCTCGTTCTCTAAAAAATGCTATTTCTCGATAAATAAGATCTTTTTGTTCAGGCGGAAGGTCTGCAGGTAAATCAGTATCATCATCTTTTTCCATATGATCCGTTTGTTGTTCGTGTAAAGGAGATGTTCGATTGGCAGACTTATCATGCGGAGATGTAGCTGATGATGATCTAGAATCATGTGGTTTTGACATGTCTTCAACAACTTTTATTACAGCTAGAAGAGCATTCTTATCGAGTTCAGAATCGTGCTAAAAACAAACAAATATTTTTTTATTTATAAGAACAATAGGAACTTTAATAATTAAAATATAAATTAGAAAAACTAAACAAACCACAGTTCTCGGCCTCGACGCTTCGTATTGGTCAAGATATTTTCTAGTATTTTCATCAGCTCTAACCTTCATAATAAGAAAAGAAAATGAATATATGTAAGTTAGAAAAAAACTTCATAAGAATTATTAAAATAATTCTTACTATTAATTTTTTTCCGACAGCCCCTTCCTCTAATGCAGGTAGTACGACACCCTTATCTTTCTTATCGTCGCCGGCCCCTTCACCACCTAGGACTCTCAGCGCCCGGAGAACACTGTCGGCATCTAGATACTCGGCAAAACCAAATCCTTTAGGATTTCCTGATTGATCTTTAACCCGTTTCCAAGATTTCAATGCCCCACATGTCTTGAATTCATCAAGAGCAAGTGAGGAAAAATAAAAATCAAGAGTAAGAGGTCAGCTAATGTATTTAAGAAAAATATCACACCTGAGAAGTCCCTCCCTGCAATGACATTATTTATATGCGTATATTAAGATCAAAATTTCAAAATAAATTCCGTAAGGCTAAGTGCGGAAGAAATATTTTTAGCGTCCTAACTGCGAAGTCTCCTTTTTTTTTTATTTTTTAGTCCGTAAAAAATAAATGCAATTATCAGAATCAAACCTCTGGCTTATGTCGATTCTTCTACTCAAAGCCCAGTTTCTTAGAAAGTCAATGTGTTCATAATCGTGCCAATATTAAAAGATACTAATTTCTTTGATCCTTCGATTTGGTAAAATTATCGTCAACTTGTTGACAAAGGGTTGATGTATACAACAATTCTCCCACCAAATAAAACGTTCACTACCTTGAGAACTTTCTCCATCCAGTCATCAGTGACACCTGGTGATATTCCTCCAATGAAAAGTGTTGTCAATTTTTCTACTTCAGGTCCCGAAGCAGTCATAGATTGAACACCGACGGGCACAGGTCCATACGCAGGTCTCGCTCCCACATAGCCCGGCCGTGGTGGTGGCGTTGCGGGTACAAAACCAGGTCTTATTGTAGGTGCGTACTGGGTTCCTGCTTGCGGAACATACTGTTGTCGATCGAAAGGAGGCCG